GTGCACTTGTGGTGTTGAAAGTTATGGAGCACCTATGCACATTGGGTGTTGGGTGCCGGTTCTATGCATAAATGAATTTCACTTACAATCCCTTGATACTTTGCACGCCGGTAATATGCATATTTAAACACATATAAATACATGACAATCTAATTTTTCCTTGAAAGCCAGTGCGGGAAAAGGGATTAACCATTTAACCGAACATAAATTGTGATGAGAAGGGTCTTGATATTTTAATATTAAAAATATACTCGCTGAAAAAATTACGTTGTATTACAATGTAAACCATCAAGTATAAGTATCAAATATTTCCTGACGATTAGTTATTTAACTATTATTTATTACTGGGATATATAATCGAAAGCTGCATGTAAACAGAGAAGACAATCCAAACTACTTTGAAATCCGTTTCAACACAACGTCTTCCTGTTGCCACACACAAATGATGTCTTTTCAACCCTTATAACTGAGTGCAATTGGCACTTAAGTCAGCAGTAAATACCAAAGGAAGCCAACCGTTAAACTTTATTATTCATACGGAGACATGGCTGAACAGGATCCCTCATGTGTATTAACAGGGGATCTTACGAGCCTTAACAGGGGTGGCCCGAGTCTTGAAAGGGGGTCTTAAGTTGCTTAAGTGTCTCCCGTGCCCTAACAAGGGCTCTGACGTGACTTAACAGTGTCTCTCGTGTTTTAACAAGGTCCCTCATATCTCGTAACTCTTACGCGCATTAAATGGGTTTCTTGAGCATTAATTGAGATTATTACGTGACTTAACAGTGTTTAACTTACCCAAACGTGCCTTAATAGAAGCTCTTACGTGGCTTAACAGAAGCTCTTTCATGCCCTAACAGGATCCTTCATGCCTCTTACGCGGTAAGATGTTTGATACGGATAAATAGACACTGGGTTAGGAAGTCATTGGATGAGGTCCCGCTAGGTTCCACCATTTGCTTGGGTAAAGGGTAACACTGAAACGAGCTGCAATTCTTAGTGGTGCCTCAGTGCGGGTTACGGTCCTACTGCACACAGAAATCACAATTGCGTGATGCATCAAATGAACAAATCCACAAGGACCGTGACGAGGATTCGAACCTGCGTTCGAGAGCATCCCAGACGCTGCCTTAATCGACTGAGCTACGTCTTGGTTATGGTTTTTTGACCATGTCGTACCTCAGTCGATTAAGGCAGCGTCTGGGAAGCTTTCGGACGCAGGTTCGAATCCACGTCACGGCCCTTGTGGATTTGTTCATGGTCCTACTGGATGTAGCTGATTCATTCCACTGAAGAATGATGGGTTCTTCTGAATGGCTAGTCCACTGATATCTCAGATATAAAGGTTTCTAAATAATATGTGGTATAATTGGTAGGCGTATTCTGTTGTTGGAAGCCTTTGGCAGAGGGTTCCTCTTTGAAAGGTTTCCTAGTTACCGGGTCCTGATTTTATCATTGTGAATATAATTATGTTGGTATAGAGTAATAATGGAAAGGCGTCCATTAGGTGAGAATTAAATTAGAGAGTTAAACTGGTCAAAAGTTCCAGTGGCAGAGGATACCACCGACTCAGTGTTCCATTTCGGTGATGGCATTATTAGACCCCCTGGACGAGTTAGAACTGCGAGGAACCCTCAATCATGTGTGTGCGTACTGATGAGTGAAGTTTTCGTTCGTGCCCCTGACTGGTTGTGCCATTGTGTGGCACTTCTATTAGAAATAAAACACATTTCGTGCAGGAATCATTGGATCACGTGAGAGTTCGATTACTTTTTTTTTCGGGGGAGAGGGGGGGGAGTAACATCACGAACACAGTGGCTGAGGTCTCCATTATATTTAAAGATAATATTATACTCGTGGACCACCGCAGTTCAAGTTCAAGTAAGTTTATTGAGACAAGAAAAAAATACACCTCAAAGGGATATCTTGAGATGATTTCGGGGCTTTTAGTGTCCCCGCGGCCCGGTCCTCGACCAGGCCTCCACCCCCAGGAAGCAGCCCGTGACAGCTGATTAACACCCAGGTACCTATTTTACTGCTAGAGGATAGAGTAGCTTAGGCTATTTCTAACCACCGCAGAGCGTCTATGAATGCCGTTGAATACCCCCTAAATACAATTAGATAAAAACTAATGACTTTAGATGGCAGGATTTCTTAATATCTCTGAATATCATTTATCTTATATTAATTTGTTATTATTTAGATTATTGAAAGGCAAAGATGTTAACCCATGAGAACAGAAACATAAAGACAAGAATCAAGGTTAAAATATTGATCCACAAGCAATTCATGAATTACTGCAAATCATGGCAGTCCATCATTAAAACAAAGGGACGTGGTGATCACAAAGGACAAGCCAAATACTGACTTATTAAATTATAAACAAGTTAGTATTTGACTTATAACCTGGACTGGAGGATGCGTTGGATTATTGGATGTTAAGTATTTATATACAAATATTGCTCTGAAATTGAAAATACAGTTAGTTTTGCGTTTTGGTAATCTTTGGATTAGAAATTGACGCGCACAGGAGGAGAAGGTACACAGCTACAGAATTCCAGAGACCAACAACCAAGCGACAGAAACTAAAGCAGTTTTTTCCCACTTCATGCCAATGGTTTACACTTTTTAACGAGGACGGGTAAATTGAATAAAAAAACAGTTTTTCTCTGCATTTCATTCAACATATTGGTATAGAGAAAGGTATTCTTGGGTAATTATCAGAATAAAGCGCTGTACCAGTATAACTGTATAGCACTTAGCAAGAATTTGGCGACAAGGAATTGGGATATGAGGACGAAGTAAAGGAACGGTGCCCAACCATTTCAACAAACAGGGAACGAGCGCTGACTCTGCATTAAACTAGGCCAATGCCTTACGAGTCACTCCATACGGCTGGAAAGAAGCTAATTCTGACGTGGCATCTACACAACGGTTTGAGTGAGACGACTGTAGCTTTCAGAGGACATAAAGACTTTTCTGACTGTATCAGAACATTTTTTCAGAAGTAATTTTGACAATCCCAGTGATATAAAGTTCCGGGAACAAATAATAAACATTAGAATATACTGAATCTCGTTTTGGATTGTAATGCTTTAACTAAAAGGCTGCATGATCTGCCGTATTTAATTATTTATATCTCAAAGCAATGCCCAGGTAGTTACCAGCAATGATAGAGATTTTTTTGACTCATAGTATTGTCATCAACAGCTCACCGTACCAATTTATCAAGTTTTATAGCGACAATTGACAGCTGTCCCGTATCAAAGTTCTAAAGCCAGTTCTTAAACCAGTTACTAGGGCTCTGTTCCCTACAGGCATATTTATAGTCATTTGACGTACACTTAGAGCAAGTTGACAAAGTATTACAGTCGGTTGTCATAGTCTTAGAGCCTGTTTCTGTAATCTTAGAGCAAGCTGACATGGTCTTAGATCCTAATAATATAGTCATAAAGTGTGTTTACGTAAGTTTACACACAGAGATCACACTAACGTGATGCTTCAAACAAATCCACAAGGGCCGTGACGAGGATTCAAACCTGCGTTTGATTAAGGCAGTGTCTGGGATACTCCCGGACGCAGGTTCGAATCCTCGTCACGGCCCTTGTGGATTTGTTCGTGTTTACGTAGTCTTGGAACGAGTTTATATGGTCTTAGAGCCTGTGGACATAGTTTTAGAGCCTGTTTATACAGCTTTTGAGCCTTTTGACAGTCTTAGAACACGTATGAACAATCTTACATCCAGTATGTAAAATCTTAGAGCCAATTAGCTTAGCTATAGATCCTGATGACATAACCTTAGAGCCAATTGACAAAGACCTTGACACGCCCATTTCATTTTTGGTCACAAACAATAACTCTTAAATGTCTTTTTCGAACAGGATTTTCCATGGATTTTCGAACTCTACTATTCCATTAATCCGTCTTCCAAGGTTTATCGCTTCCAGCATCGCGGAGAGTCGCATTTACTAGCGCCCATAAATCTGGTTTATCTTATCTACTAGCACCCATGTGTTTGGTTTATCGCATCTATTAGCATCCATGACTTTTGTTTATCGCTTCTACCAGCACCCATGATATCAGCTAATCTCATTTGTTATCAGCCAACTCTTCAGTGTATTATGTTTTCAAATGCTCACAAATCTGATTTATTTGTTTTTCTACCAACAATAACACTGATTTATCGCGTTAACTAGCAACAAATACGATGATTTAAATCTAATAATAACGTCCATAACTCTAGCTTATCTCATTAACTCTCAGTATGCTGCAGCATCTGTCAGCATCTATTAGCATCCCTCAGCAACTCTCAGCATCCCTCAGCACCCTAGCATTCCTCCTTATCTCTCAGTTTTCTGCAGCATCTCTTAGGGCCCCTGCAGCATACAATAGTGAAATTCGGCATTTTGCAACATCTCTTAGTATCTTTCAGCATACTGAATTACATTTTAATATATCTATGTATCCAGTAGCATAGCCCGCATCCATCAGTGTCTCTTGTAGCATTACATTAGCATCTAATAGGATCTCTCAGCATCATCATACAGCATTCTGGATCATCTCGTGACGGATACTATCATAGTTTAAAAGTGGCAATATTCTAATTGAGCTCTACCAGGTTTCAAGGAATTAAATGCAGCTTAAATAGTAGGAGCTTTTTAGTTTAAAAAATTACATCAGTGCTTTTGATAGTAAGGCCTGGTTTAATAGATATTTTTTAATAATATACAGATTTAATAATAGCTTATTTAAAGAATAGCTAATTTTAATAGCACCATTTCTAAAATAACATATGTTATTTTAATAGTAATTTGCTACAGATTTAATAATATTAGCAAGTAATGATATCAATACTGGCAGCGTTATCATCAACAGTAGTGTCCTAACTAGGAACTGAAACTCTCTTTCTTATTCATTCAGCAGTGTGTGAAGTTTAGACATTATTAGATAATAGTTATAATAACTGTAGGTGTAGTTACTACCAAATTGAAATTGAAATAAGTTTATTGGTTGTTACTACAGCTGTGACAGTTAAGCGATGTGGTTACTACAGTTGTAATAATAAAAATAATAACAGCATAAGAAGGAGCGACAGCAACTATACTAGCGTCAACAGCTGTAGTAGCAACAACAGCTGTAGTAGCAACAACAGCTGTAGTAACAACAACAGCTGTAGTAGCAACACCAGCTGTAGTAGCAACAACAGCTGTAGTAGCAACAACAGCTGTAGTAGCAACAACAGCTGTAGTAGCAGCAACAGCTGTAGTAGCAGCAACAGCTGTAGTAGCGTCAACAGCTGTAGTAGCGTCAACAGCTGTAGTAGTAACAACAGCTGTAGTAGTAACAACAGCTGTAGTAGCAAACACAGCTGTAGTAGCAACAACAGCTGTAGTAGCGTCAACAGCTGTAGTAGCAACAACAGCTGTAGTAGTAGCAACAGCTGTAGTAGCAACAACAGCTGTAGTAGCGTCAACAGCTGTAGTAGTAACAACAGCTGTAGTAGCAACAACAGCTGTAGTAGCGTCAACAGCTGTAGTAGCAACAACAGCTGTAGTAGTAACAACAGCTGTAGTAGTAACAACAGCTGTAGTAGAAACAACAGCTGTAGTAGCAACAACAGCTGTAGTAGCAACAACAGCTGTAGTAGCGTCAACAGCTGTAGTAGCAACAACAGCTGTAGTAGTAGAAACAGCTGTAGTAGCAACAACAGCTGTAGTAGCGTCAACAGCTGTAGTAGTAACAACAGCTGTAGTAGCGTCAACAGCTGTAGTAGCAACCACAGCTGTAGTAGCAGCAACAGCTGTAGTAGCAACAACAGCTGTAGTAGCAACAACAGCTGTAGTAGCAGCAACAGCTGTAGCAACAGCAGCTGTAGTAGCAACAACAGCTGTAGTAGCAACAACAGCTGTACTAGCAACAACAGCTGTAGTAGCAACAACAGCTGCAGTAGTAACAACAGCTGTAGTACCAACAACAGCTGTAGTACCAACAACAGGTGTAGTAGCAACAACAGCTGTAGTAGCAACACCAGCTGTAGTAGCAACAACAGCTGTAGTAGCAACACACAGCTGTAGTAGCGTCAACAGGTGTAGTAGCAACAACAGCTGTAGCAACAACAGCTGTAGTAGCAACACCAGTAATAGTAATAATAACTGGTGTTGTACCAACAACCGCCGTGTTCACACCAGTAGCAGGTTGAGAGTACTCACCACACCTATATTATAGACTGCAACAATAGTAACAATATCAGCCGGGTTTATATTGAAAACAGATTCAGGAGCGGGGCCAGAGCAGTAGAAACAGTAGCAACGGCAGCTGCAATAGTGACCATTAATCTCGGGTTATATTACGGGGCTCGAATGTACGCCCTGTGACGCTGTTGGTGGCTGGTGAGGGTGAGGTCCTGGATGCCTTAAGAACCCCCATTTCTAATGGCCGAGGGCGAGGAGCTGAACTGCCTCAAAAACCCCATTCCTAATGGTCGAGAGTGAGAAGCTGGCCTGCCTAAGAACCCCTAATCCTTGTGGGCCGAGTGAGAGGCGGTGGAGTTCTTGTTTCCTTGTTTCGTCTCATTCTTTGACGGCCATTACGAAGCTTTTAGTCTTCGTTCCTCGAGTGAGGTTAGAAAACGCATATTTATTCTCTTCCCAGATAGCGGTGGGGGAACAAATAGTAAATTTTACACCCGTTCAATATTTGGGGAGCTTTTTATACTTCGTGTGTGTGTGTGTGTGTGTATGTGTGTGTATGTGTGTGTGTGTGTGTGTGTGTGTGTGTGTGTGTGTGTGTGTGTGTGTGTGTGTGTGTGTGTGTACTCACCTATTTGTTTGTTTATTACTATTACTATTTATTTATTTGCACACCTCACCTGTGTGTGTGTGTGTGTGTGTGTGTGTGTGTGTGTGTGTGTGTGTGTGTGTGTGTGTGTGTGTGTGTGTGTGTGTGTGTGTGACTCGGTGTTATGGGTCGGTAAGCGAGTATGGTGCTGCTGGGAGCGACACACTGCTTAACGTCAAGACTTAACTAAAAGATGCATGGATAAAGTTTTTTTTCCAGCTTAGGAAACCACGTTCCCCTGCTAGTGCTCCTTCTTTTAATCTTTCATTTATTTTATATATATATATATATATATATATATATATATAATATATATATATATATATATATGTCGTACCTAGTAGCCAGAACGCACTTCTCAGCCTACTATGCATGGCCCGATTTGCCTAATAAGCCAAGTTTTCTTGAATTAATATATTTTCTCTAATTTTTTTCTTATGAAATGATAAAGCTACCCATTTCATTATGTATGAGGTAAAAAAACTTTTATTTTAGTAAAAATTAACGTTGATATATGACTGAACCTAACCAACCCTACCTAACCCAACCTAACCTATCTTTATAGGTTAGGTTAGGCTAGGTAGCCGAAAAAGTTAGGTTAGGTTAGGTTAGGTAGGTTAGGTCGTCGAAAAAACATTAATTCATGAAAACTTGGCTTATTAGGCAAATCGGGCCTTGCATAGTAGGCTGAGAAGTGCGTTCTGGCTACTAGGTACGACATATATATATATATATATATATATATATATATATATATATATATATATATATATATATATATATATATTAGTATATTTTGGTAGCAGTCTTTCCTGTTGACATATATTATTAAATATGACCGAAAAAGTAAGATTAATAATTCTAACACGAATTTTCTCGATCTTTCGTACATTTCTTTTCACTGTTGGTGGTAATTAAAAAATCAATTCTCCAAAATTCATTTTTATTTCTAGTCTGACGCGACACTTGAGCGCGTTTCGTAAAACTTATTACATTTTCAAAGACTTTAGTTTACACATACACAACTGAATAGAACTTAGACATCTCCGATTTGTTTATATCTACATTTGAGTGAGGTGGTATTTAATAGGGTATTAAATTCATCAACACAAGACAGAACACGAAACAATGGGTATTGAATGGAAGTGATTGTAGAAAGCCTATTGATCCATATTTCTTGATGCTTCTATATTGGAGCGGAGTCTTGAGGTGGGTAGAATATAGTTGTGCATTAATTGGCTGTTGACTGCTGGTGTTGATTTCCTAATGTGTAGTGCCTCGCAAACGTCAACGTTTTGCAAAACGCAAAACTGCGTTTCGAAACTTATGTAAGGAATCGTTCAGGACCCTGTATACAACTCATGTCAGACCAATCATGGAATATGCAGCTCCAGCTTGGAGTCCATACCTAGTTAAACACAAGACAAAGTTAGAGAATATTCAGTGGTATGCCATCAGACTCGTCCCGGAACTGAGAGGTATGAGCTACGAGGAAAGGCTAAAGAAGTTGAAACTCACGTCCCTGGAAGACAGAAGAGTAAGAGGAAACATGTAAACCACCTACAAAACTCGTAGGGCAAGTGTCACGGCGGACAAAGACTAACTCTTTAGCTTGGGTGGAACACAAACAAGGGGACATAAGTGGAAACTTAGTACCCAAATGAGCCACAAAGACATTAGAAAGATTTTTGTTAGTGTCAGAGCAGTTAACAAATGGAATGCACTAGAAAGTGATGTAGTGGAGTCAGACTCCATACACAGTTTCAAATGTAGGTATGATAGAACCCAGTAGGCTCAGGAATCTGTACACCAGTTGATTGACCGTTGAGAGGCGGGACCAAAGAGCCAGTGCTCAACACCCGCAAACACAAATAGCTGAGTACATCTATGTGAGTACACACATGGTGAACACACACACAAGCAGAGCATACACAAACGCACATGTACACATGTCACTAATAAAACACACATGCATGTAAATTTAATGGGAAATAAACACGCTGTATAACTCTACGGTCAAATTCGGCCCCGTTTCACTTACTAATGCACTTATTAAATTTCTACTTGGTAATTTTATTTTTTTGCATGTGATTATACATATATATATATATATATATATATATATATATATATATATATATATATATATATATATATATATATATATATATATATATATATATGCGAACAAGCCTGAATGGTCCCCAGGACATATGCAACTGAAAACTCACACCCCAGAAGTGACTCGAACCCATACTCCCAGAAGCAACGCAACTGGTATGTACAAGACGCCTTAATCCACTTGACCATCACGACCGGACATAATGAGGTGATAGCCGAGGCTATATGAACCACCTCTACCGCCGGCACTCGGATAGTTATCTTGGGCATAGCATTTTACCAAATCACCTCATTCTTTGGGGCACACGTGAGGAACACAAATGCGAACAAGCCTGAATGGTCCCCAGGACATATGCAACTGAAAATTTTATATATATATATATATATATATATATATATATATATATATATATATATATATATAGTTGTGCAATAATTGGCTGTTGATTGCTGGTGTTGACTTCTTGATGTGTAGTGCCTCGCAAACGTCAAGCCGCCTGCTATCGCTGTATCTATCGATGATTTCTGTGTTGTTTACTAGGATTTCTCTGGCGATGGTTTGGTTATGGGAAGAGATTATATGTTCCTTAATGGAGCCCTGTTGTTTATGCATCGTTAAACGCCTAGAAAGAGATGTTGTTGTCTTGCCTATATACTGGGTTTTTTGGAGCTTACAGTCCCCAAGTGGGCATTTGAAGGCATAGACGACGTTAGTCTCTTTTAAAGCGTTCTGTTTCGTGTCTGGAGAGTTTCTCATGAGTAGGCTGGCCGTTTTTCTGGTTTTATAGTAAATCGTCAGTTGTATCCTCTGATTTTTGTCTGTAGGGATAACGTTTCTATTAACAATATCTTTCAGGACCCTTTCCTCTGTTTTATATAAAACAGAGGAAAGGGTCCTGAAAGATATTGTTAATAGAAACGTTATCCCTACAGACAAAAATCAGAGGATACAACTGACGATTTACTATAAAACCAGAAAAACGGCCAGCCTACTCATGAGAAACTCTCCAGACACGAAACAGAACGCTTTAAAAGAGACTAACGTCGTCTATGCCTTCAAATGCCCACTTGGGGACTGTAAGCTCCAAAAAACCCAGTATATAGGCAAGACAACAACATCTCTTTCTAGGCGTTTAACGATGCATAAACAACAGGGCTCCATTAAGGAACATATAATCTCTTCCCATAACCATATATATATATATATATATATATATATATATATATATATATATATATATATATATATATATATATATATCCCGAGATTCCTTGACCCCCCCTAGTTCGAACTACTGATTATCCCTAGGAAGAAACACCACAATAGTTGCCTATGTCTCGTCTACATATTTCCTGTTAGGTGAACACAAGCATCACATGAAATTTCGCAGTTTCAAATAATAAAATAATTTTTCATATGATTTCCAATCTGTTATCATAACAGTATAAAACTCTGTTCTCTATTCATGAATCGAAGTGCAACATAGGTCGTCCTATTAACATCGTTTTAGTATCATTCGAGTAAGTTTTATACGCTGAAGTTATATGCGCTTATCTCAAGAGATTAAGTAAACACTCATCTAACAGCAAGTTCCTTAAAAAATTCGTCACACGCACTCACAATCAAACTCACACTCGCACACACGCACACACTCGCTCTCGCACACTCTCAACCCCCCTAATATCTGGACGTAGACATGACTGGTACAGTAGCTTTAAGAAGAGGAGAATTTGGAAGGAAACTTGAAGCAAAGCATATTCTATTACGTATGTAAAGCACCAAAGCTATGGTGGCCTGCGATCCTGCTTTTCTTTAATGATTACTTTGAGCATTGTACTTGTAAAGCTGAGGTCACTGAGGTGTGTGGGGGTGGGTGGGTAGGTGTGGTGGTGTGGATATTGTGCATGTGTGTATGTGTGTGTGTGTATGTATGTATGTGTGTGTGTGTGTGTTTGAGTGAGGGAGAGAAGGGTGTATAGAAGGATTTCACTCAATTGCCAGCCGTCGACAAGGACAGTGACGCCACGAGTGTTCGAAAGACGTAGCCGTGTTTGTGGTGTTGTTATTAAGAGCAGCTGGCGTGATTTTTCTAGTGGCAGGTCGGACAGGGTGTGCGAGGGCGTGTAGCGCCACGGGAGTTTGGGCGGCGGCCCCTGGAACTAAGAGGATCAATACGATGCGGGGGTCGCGCGCCGTCTGCAGCCAGTGTCCCACAGTCAGCCTGGCCAAGCGCACGCTGCACACCAAGTGGCCAGCAGCCCGCCATGCCCGAGCCGCCCTCAGGCCGCTTCCTCAGCTGATATCGTGCTCTAAGTGATACCCGGCCACTGGAAGGCTGGCGAGGCGGCCCCAGCCCAGTGCGTGCCATGGGCGGTGAGTGACGGGAGCAGTGTGGCGCGCGCCCTCCGACCCGTGACAGCCGTGACCCCACGCCAGCACCTCCAGGACCGCCACCATGAGGAGTTCC